GACCTGCAGGTTCCATTCGGACCTATTGGGAAGGGATTTTTAGTGAAAGTGGAAAGGGAAAAAAGGAGAAAGACAGAGAGGGAGGGAGGGAGGGAGGGAGGGAGGGAAGGAGACAAAGAGATTATAAAGTCAAGGTCTAAATGTGCCTGTCATTAAAAATTAAGTGGTAGATTACAGCATGCAGGAAGTATTAGCAAAACAATGCAGTAAGAGACAATTGCACACTCTGACAAGCCTAGACCGTGCAGTCTGACCGGGCAGGCAAGGAGGGGAGCTGGCAAGAATCAGGTGAGCCAGGTCTACTCCAAGCTAGACTGAATGTCCGGGAGAAAATACACCAGCCTTGTCACTTCTGTGGGGCAGGCAGCTGGACCCAGTGAGAATCGCTGGTCCTCCTCTGGGCAACTATAATCACCCAAACAGAGCACTCCCCAGAGTGCCACAGGCCATGACAGAGGACATCTGGCAGAGCAAGAGACTCTGCGGACATCTCCTCAGCTCAGTAAGATGAGAGTTAAACCATACATGGCCTCCCAGCACATCTGTCAAGCCTTTACGTTGGTTAGCTCAGGCCTTACACTGTTTGGTGGTACAAAATGCAGAAATCCTGAACTATTCTAAAACATGTGAAGAGCAAGCTCTAAGCAGGAATACTACTGAGATCCTTCTACTCCACATGCTCTGATACCCAAGACTGGCAAGGAAAGAAAATGAGGAAAAAGAGGGAGAACTGAGGTTTCCTAGGAACATTTCCCCAGAAGGAAGTGTTTGGAGATGTGCAAAAGAAAGTTAGCTTGGGAAAGAAAAGCTATACATGCAACTGTTATGTTAAGCAGAAGAAAGGAAAGACAGGGAAAAACTGACTAAGGGAAGGAGCAACGGGAAAGCAGCAGGCAGTTTTAGTCTACTCATTGGGTTTTGCTCAAGTTAAATTGTTTCTCTAAAATTGTAAGCCTACATTCCTGTTAAAAATAAAAGATAATTGCATTACTCAAGTTTATAAGTATCCTCCTAATACAAAGCGGTTTGGCTACAGGCGAAGTTGTGTATTTCACAGCACACAGCATAGAAACATGCATTAGAAATGCAATACCAACATGGCAACTGACCACACTGGGTACCTATACTCCATTAACAGATACATTGCCACAAGTTAGCCCAATTATGCTCATTTGCACCGTATGAGCAAGTTTGCATATTGCTTTGTTCTAAACACAGGTGTGCAGAGTTCCTATACGCGCAAAAGAACACCAAAAGGATTAGAGTCAGAAACAACAAACAGTGATTTACAACACACATGGGGTGTGCCTCTACCTGTCACATTAGGTCTGGAAGGCAAGAGTGTAACAAATTTCTCGAGCTAAATCAAGGTGTTCACATAACAAAACAGGAGAGAAATCTTGATCTCTTGCAAGTGTTAGTCTGTAAATTACCATTCTCCCAATCACCCAGGTTAATGAATTTTCAAGTAGCACCACCTGACCTTAATTGTGCCCTGTATAAGGCACCATGGGTGTGCCGACCTTAGCTGTGCTGAGCTTCACTTTTGACACCTGAGACAGCAAAAGGCAACAGGAAAAATAAAAGCGGCATAAAACAGAGAGGGAGACCAAGGCATAACACAACAGCTATCCCTGAATGGCAAGACCCTGGAGAATCTTGAATTTGTCTCTTACAGCATACACAGTGAGCACACGTTTTAATGCCCTGTTGTAGCATCCCATTTGAAATAACATGTTCAAAATCTAACAAGCACAATGAGACATAATGAGATCTTCACTGCCCAACTGTGAAGAATGAACAGATGAATAAAGTATTATTTGGGCAAACAGCAATGTGTCACAATATGAAGTGGACAGATTACCTGCATTTTAGTCTTTTAATCTTAGATGTATTCGAAACAGAGAGGGATTTTCCTCAAGTGTCCTCACTGAGGACAGTCATTTTCACAGTGAGCAAATTAAACACTCAGGGAAAAGAACATTGTGCATCTCAGGAGGGGGAGCCCCTCCCATCTCCACAGAATCAAATTAAACTTCCACAACCAGAAACATACTCAGCAATACTTTGTTTATAGAAGAACCCTGAAACAGATCATGGTCCTTGTTCATCCTTATAACTATGTAATGTCCTTCTGTTTATCTTGAAAAATTACTTATTGCATACTATCAATTCATATTTGTAACTTGCATAGAATCATCTTCATGACTATCTGGAACTCTCAGAAATGCTATAAAAAGAATAGTAACTATTGTTTATAGTAACAGCTGTGGTTTTTTTTTTTAGCTGTTTTTCCTAAGAAAACAAGCTTTTGCAATTGAACTGTTTGCCACCTCTCTTCCTATGCCAGTTGCTTTTGGACTGGTTAGCAAATTTCAGTCAAATACGACAGACTGCTGGAAATCTCAATATGTTTTCAACTTAAAGAAATTGTTGTGAAGTTACTGACACCTGGTAAATGAGGGAAAAGCAGGCAGAACTCACCCATTTTTAACTTGTTAAGCAGTTAGCCACTGGCCAACCAGTACAACATCCTGGCTGGCTGGCTGGCCAGCCTCAATGTCATCTCCCCGCTGAACCAAAGCATG